TTTGTTAAGAGTTTGCGTTTTTCTGTTGGCTTGGCTTTGTTTTTTTGAACTTTGACTGTATAATGAGTGTTTCGTGGATTGTAGTTAGGTGTCTTTGTTATTACCAATCAATATGTAGAGTGATTATTTAAAGAAGCTAATATAAGGATATTAATTAATGTAACGTTGGCATTATAATGAAAAATACATAAATTAAGGAATTGAAATGTATTGATATCATTGTAAAAATTCTTGTTAGTACCTAACAAATTTTTCTTGATTTTTAAAAAGTATAATTCCATTCTATTTTCGCTTGTATTTTCTAGTAATTTTCTTCTTTTACATATCCATGATTGGCGCCGTTTTCTCAATAAATCATTTAAATGAGGAAAATATTTAGAATTCACTACGTCAGGTAAACAATGAAAGCTAACTTGGTCTCGATTTCCACGACTTCCACAACCCACTAATATGCATGTTACCGGCATTAGTATGTAATACATATCGTTGCGACACAATTCAATAAAAGACAAGTTGAACACTTTCTTAAATAAAATACATGAATAATTCCTTACAAAAAACTCGTATTAAATGCTTTTAACTAAAAACTTCTGGACTAACTTCAATGCATTCTCAATGTAAACATAACTTGTTTGCCATCAGCGCCATATTGCTTAAAAATTTGACAGGTCATTGGATTGACTGATAAGAGGTCTATACACTTTAATACACTTTAATAGACCTATAAAGAAGCAAGGGGACTTTCAAAGGACATGTTTTTTTTTTTAAAGAAATGCAGATCACTAGAAGGCCTTATATATATCTTGTTAGTGACAATCTGAACGTTCTAATCCGTTACAAATTGATATTTTCAACTCAAAATAGTAGTACATTTTTATCAAAAAAGACGTTCATGTTATCAAAATAAATAGATATATTTTTTAATTTTCACACTCTGTAAGTTAAAAATTAGTAACATTTGGATAAAACATGTTTTTCCCCACAAGTTCTGTCCTCTAATTATTAGGGGGTAAGGCGCTCGTATATTCAGGCAATCCGTTCCGTGATTTTTAAAAATATTAAAGATTGTAGGAGGCTAGTTTTAGAGATACAGCAAAAATTCACTTCTAGGTGAAAAGGGAAAGCGTTTGAGGTAGATGATTAAAAATACTTGGATTAGTGATTTTACATAAATTTACATTACATCAATCTGTGGAGGAGGTAATGGAAAATTATTCTACAGAGAACCCTACAATTTCATCGTCATCCAGTATTTTATAAAAATGAGTTGTGGCATGATATAATATTTGCAAAACTGTAAAAAATTTTAAAAACTATAACTCTTTTATCTAGGACATAAGTTATCTCATAGGAACTTTTTCTTTAAAATTATTTGAGGTCTTTTGGGCAGAATACCTTCTCAGGATTAAAATGATATAAGGTTTGATATGCCTCTGTAATAACGAGACAATAGTACATTGTGTAACGTGTGGGGAAAAGTTGCCAATAGCGCCACGCGGACGCAATTGACGCACGAGCGAAGCGAGTGCGGAAAGCGCCCAAGTGGCGCTATGGCAACTTTTCCGAACGAGTTGCACATACTATTTTCTATCACAAGTGCGAGTCGTTATGGGACCTATAGCATAGGGGGTTAAGTGCACGGAAAGTGCTAGATAGTACAACAGCGTGATGTTATTTTCATAGCGCAACGCTGGAGCGTATCTAGCACTTTCCGTGCACCTAACCCCCTACCCCTACACTATAGGTCCCATAGCGAGCGCGCGTGATAGAAAATAATATACTAGCAATAAACACTTTGAACTCTTGGTTATATCTCTTTTATTGTTAGAAATATATATCACGATAATCTTAAGGAATTTCAATCCGAATATTTCAAAATATACAGGATGTTCTGTCAAAATATATAAATAGATAGATAGATAAGTTTGACTTGTGTCTGCGAGAAGCAACATTGAATTATTTTTGAAATACAGTTTTGAAATCACAAGAAAATTTCCTTCAACTATACAATTTTTAAGTACCAAAGTAGAAAGAACGATAAGGGTAGAAAGTATGTGAATATAATACGGTAGCGTAATCGGTCGAGAGTGCGGTGGCAAGCATGTCTCGGCCGGCTTCCTATTCTGGTCCAGGTTCGATCCCTGGCGTCGGCACTGACAATGTCGCTGGATAATGGGTGTTTGTCCGCGTTTTTTTTCAAGTGCCTCCTTTCGCACAACCTTTGGATTTGGATTTGGGGGTTGTCTCATTTCTGTGGTGTGTTTTATGGTTTTATGTTTAAATAACTATACATAAAGATTGCCCTTCTAATAACAATGAAAATTAACGTAATGTATAAACAAAGGAAATTGTATATTCTTAAAACTAAAAAATTCGAATCCGAAAATTACACTTTACAGGAAATTTTAAATTGGAAATCGATTTAAATTATGAGAACTAATTTCTAAAGTCTTAATCAGAAACTGTTTATTTGTGACTGTTCCGTCTTCAATCAGTTTTCGTAATTTTAATCCTACGTTACAAAAGCGTAAGCGTAGGCAGAATGGAACGCCTACGTTTACCGACTCCTACGTAAACGAATATAGCACCTACATACGCTCATTTCCGAGATCCTTGTCGTTTTGCATACAAATCCTTTATTATTGTTGTACAGCGGGTTTGTAAACTCTAGTATATACTTCATTTAAACAGTAGGTAGAATATACCGATTTTATGAGTACATAAGTGGAAAATTTTCTATGGGCAGCTGTATAAGGATTATTATAAAAAAGAGTGAAACTGAAAATATGTCTTTGATAGTAAATATAAAAAGTGCCATCGAAGAGGGATTTTCCTCTTATTGAATGTTTATTTATTGGGAAATGAGAAAGCAGTCAAAAGAAAAATAATAAAAACTGAAAAGATAGAAATTGTTACTTATCCATTTCAATTTAATTTAAAAACTTTATGGATGTAAAAATTTTGATGTTTCGCATTGTATTTAAATTTGTATTCTAACTGAAATTCACATATTTTTTGTGAACCAAGTTTTAGAGTTATTTTCGGTTAATTCAATTTTGGGGTTGCTTGTTTTAGATTAAAAAAGCGGTTAATATTTTTTATAAACTGAAAAAGACAAAAATTATGAGGTTTTTAGTAATAGTGCCATTGTGCCAAACAATATCTCTACTACGGTTGTAATTGTTTACAAACTCAGCGAATTAAAAAATATATCATAAATCTGTATCGAACACCTATAGAGATATTTTGTGTAAATGTGATATTTTTAGAAAATTTTAACATCCCCTCTAAAAAATTTGTACATACTTAAGTCATATCGGAGTGAATAATGGTAAATACGGAGGCAAAAATCATATTTAAAATATGGGAGCCAGGAGAAAGCCATCCCAGTCAATCACTTCATTTAGTCTTCTATAATATTCGCCACATATCAATTAAATTTTTTTACCGTAGTGTGTATATCTTTGCCTCCAAACTGAACAAATTAATTTATTTTTTAATTTTGTATATTGGGTGTAACAGCGATGTTTCGACGAACCTTTGAAGATAGAAACTTCAAACTTGGTACAGCGCAGGTCATTCATAGTAGCCTCTTACATTTAAATTTAATAAAAATTAACACAATGGTGCAGAAATAGAAGGGGTCTGAGTGATTTCAACTTTAAAGAAAAGTTATTTGACGAGAATTTTCTATTACAATTTTATAGACCATTTTCTATCTAAAGTTTCATATCTCTTGAGTTTTTGCATAGTTGAAAAAAAAAACAATCACAATGTTAAAAGTACTGTCAGTAACTTAAAGTTTTGCAAAAAATCTCGTTTTTCGTGATTAAGTACATCCAAATGTTTAAAAATTATTGGCCTTTATTTATATCCGCTACTGACGAGCTCCTACCATTATATCAGCTCAAAAGAGACAAAAATTTAGATTGAAAATTATCTAATTAATTTGAAAATATTTAATGTTATAACTGTTTTGGCAGTTCTGACCTACTCTAATTCCGACGATACAGGGTCTGTTAAAATTTTATACATGAACAAATACTAGAAAACTGCATTATACTGCACCTTCAACTATTCCTCATTAATTAATTTAGAAAACAATATCATGTTTTTTGTTCATTTTGGTGAAAGAAATTAATCCTTTAATTTTTGCACACTTTATATGTATTTTGTAAGGTGAAAAAATATTTTTCTGATCAATCATATACATATAAGATTTCATGGGTAAAATAAATAATCTGTAATTGTAACTGTGTTGTAATTTGAAAATATCAATGTTTCTTTTCTGACATGTGTAAACACTTTGTGTAATAACACGAATCAATCAATAAAAAAAAATGTAAACTAAAATAAATGTCCAACTTCTTAATTTTCATTTCTATTTACTAATAGTTCTACAGACCCTATACTAATATAAGCTTTAATCGACCAGCTCTGTCCCCACATAAAGCTGACTAACTGATATAACTTTTATTTATATGTAACATATAATTTGTATAACGATTTTCAGTATTTTAAATTCATTTTATTTCTTCGGTTGGTACGACAACTTTGTTAGTGTACCTGAGACACCGGTTCTCAGTTTCACTTGCCTAACCTGAACCACAGTATGTTTATGTTTTGTTGGCATAAACTTTAGACTTAAAAAAAATTGCATAATCTGAGCGGCCAATTCTTGTTATCAAAACGGGATAGAAATACCATAGGAAACTAAAAGGGTATCGAATTTTCAAAATACTCGGTATGTCAAGGCTAATTTATTAAAATTTTCGTCAGTTAAGTGAAAACCCTCAGGGATATTTGAGAAAGTGTGCTATTTTTGTAAATTTCTGCTCCATATATCTCGAAAAAAAGCGAAACTTTTTGCTAAAAATAGTTTGTTCTGTTCCCTGTCAAATATCCCAATTAGAACTTAGACAACCCTAAATGTTAAAATTGAAATAATTAATTATTATGCACATTGATTTAAAGTATAAATATAAATTATTATTTTTCAGTGTTACACGCACAACAACCTTGGCTGGAAAATACACATAGTCGATCCTGGTTACATATCACAGCACAATAGTCAGGGACAACTGAATGGATCGCCAGCTACCACTTATTCATTTTCAGCATTATTAGTGAGCTGTCTGTTGGTTTCATCAGCAATAATAACTCATACTAGATGGCATATTCTCTAACGTTATATCGTAACAAATTCTAGTTCCACATGGCACTGACTGATATCAGATGACTTCTGCTCATTTCAGAGTTTTTCAATTTATCATATCCGATATCATATCTGTTGATATTCTCGTAACTAAACGATATTCTAAAATATCTTACATATTAAAAACTGCTATCATATTTTCAAATAGAGCTACACAATGTTTTAGGTGAACGAAAATCGAGCAGTTTTAAACATTATTTAATTTAGCCGTAATATTTGTAACGAGATATTTAAGCATTTTCGACAATTTACATACATAGAAATACACAGAATATAGAAAAATATTAAATATTTTTTTTTACGGCGAAAATCTATTTTTAATTGTAGAAGATGGGTTGTAATTCATTTTAATTATTAATAAATAATTTTAAAATTAATGTTTTACGATGGTGGATAAACATGATTTATTTTCTCAGTATAAGTATAAATATATTTGCTTGCGTCTATAACCTGAAAAAGTAATATACAAGAAACCATTAATTAACTTACCTACATAAAATTTACTTAAATGTTTCAAATTAAAATAAATGATAACAATATCTAAATTTTATCTTTGTAAACAGATACCTAACAACCTGTATATATTTTCTATCTATTAAACTAACTAAAATCAGAGATTTTATTATTTTTCCTCTATTTTATTTGACTTTAAACGTTAATTTTACTGAAATGTCTCATTGTGTAGCTCTATTTATTATCTTTGTAGACATCAATATATATTATGCCACCTTTTTAAATGAAAATATCAACTTGGTTTATTGCAACTAAATCCAATTCATAAAAAAATACAAAGCTGAAAAGCATAAATACTTTTCTAACTTTACTGCAAAACACAAAAAATAATATCTATAATTTGCCACTTTAGAAGACTGTAGTAGTCTTTTGAATTAAAAGCGAAAAGGTGTAAATAATATTGATCTGTGACATAGTTTAGTCACATTCACAATACAAATGTATTTGTGTAACTGGATGCATATCCCTTTTTTCAATTTAAGATATATAATAATTATATTTATATGTATAGTAAGATACTTGTAAAAAAAGTAATTATTTATCGTGTAGAAAGTCAGACTAATGGGTTGTAGGTTGTAGTTTTTTATTCTAATACAACATACCTACATAATGTTACCTACTACTTACTGCGGAGTAAGCTAAATCTAATAATACAGTATACTTCCACTGACAATTCTTATGATTGATTGTTTTAAAATCGAGAGTATCGAGGCACAATTTTTTTCATTCACCCATAAATCTCATATAAATACATTTTAATTAATAATTTTTCCCTTTTACATTTTTAAATAGAGTTTTTTCTGATTACCTACAGCGATATGGCATATGGTATAGTTTATTTTTTACTTTTCCTAAAATTATTCCAAAAAATATTAAATGTTCTTTGTTCTGCCTTCAACTATCTTTCAGTTTACAAGCAGCAAGTGAGTCAAATGTAAAATTATGCACCCCGATTTACTGTTATCGAATGTATTTTATCTACTATTTACCAAAAAAAATACTTTTGGTTTGATAGTTAAACAAACAAAACCAAAGAACTACTAAAGAATTTTTTTCATGCATAGTGAATTGTTTCGAAGTTATGATTAAATTCATTGACTAAAATCCCTACCTATTCAAAAATAATCATGTATGTACATTTTGATCTGAGATTTCTTAAATTTTTTCTAACAATCAAACAATTTTCCAGGTCGCTATCACAAATAAAATTGAGAACTACCATTTTGTTGTTCAAAGAGGGTATGAATCACAAATTGATCAATTAGATACAAATAATTATTATCATTATTATTAGAAAATATGAAGTAGTTCCCAATAAACTCCAAACGCTGTTTGTCGCAAACTATCATAAATAAACATTATTAACCGTCGCATTTTAAAAAACCTGATACAAGTTTGCTTCAATATTGTTCGGCGACGTATATGGATTTATTTTTTTATTTCAAACTGAGTTTTCAGCAAAACCAGGAGACAGCAACACCCTCTTTTGTTTTTGAGATACTCTTCGATTTGGTGTTTCTATAATTTTCACTAAGTTTTATCGAATAGCAGTATAATTAATTGTATTCATTACTACAATCCTGAATGTAATTGTTTATTTAATATGATATATATGTACACGAGATAAAAAAACATTCCATTCCAAATTCCAGTTATACTCAATATGCTTACATTTGACATCTTAAAACAGTGTTAATTCTAGATAGAGCATGCGGATTATGTTAATAATAAATTAAGGTCATATCGGATAGAATTCGCTATAACTTTGCATTGCTTATAGATACAGCAGATCAATTGTCACAGGTTGCCTTGTTGAAATATCTGGAGTTACAAGAACCACAAATATTTTTTCCTTTCTGATTGATGCACAACTAACAACTTTTTTGTAAGAAAATTGATGTAAACATGTGATCTCAAAGAACGAAGGCCTATCAAATGTGGGCAAAATCTGCAATAGGCATGTTGTTATCGAGCGGTAGTTATCTGATAAATGTTGGTGATCATGCAACATATTCCGAGTTTCAATAATAATTGTAGATATACCTTCAAGAGCGGTAATTTTGATAAAACTAAATCCTGTTTTATGATGACAGCGGAGCATTTCAACTTATCCCCTACATAACTGAACGATCCAAAGATCTGCACTGGACAATACCTTTGACAATAAATATTTTCTCGAAATATATTTTAATGTTAGTTAAATATTTGTACTATGAACAGAGTGAGACGATTCGTAATCTTGTAGTGAAACAATGTGAAACAATGAAAAAATTTAAAAAGAAAGTAGGTATAACATAAACACTTTCTCCACATGGAGGCAGAATTGGATGTAAACATATAATCAACAAATATATCTATAAATTCACTGTTTTCGAGATACAAGGTGTCAAAGATTTCGAAATTCCAGGTTGTAATGAGATATTTTCATAAGATACTTTAAGTTTAAATATTTCCATTATCACCTGTGGTACTCTATTTTTATTGTAAATTAAAGGAGAGTGCCACAGGGTTTCTACGCCAGTGGTGATAATGGAAATATTTAAACATACTGAGTAATTATACCCATTACAACCTAGAAATATTGTTATTTTATCACGAAGGGTTTCCATGTAATTAAAAATATAACAAAAATTTCGAAATTTTTGATCTAGAAAACTAGAAATCTAGATATATTTGAGTAAATCTTGTTTATTTTGACTGTACAAGCATTCCTTGCATGGATGCCTGTCATACCTGAGACACCCTGTATATTAACAAAGTTTTGCATGATTCTCGAATATTTGCAAGGGTAAATTTATCTACAATTTCTCGTAATTCTTAGGCAGTCGATATTACCCCAACGATTCCAACATTTTAAATAAAAAAACATGTTCTATTCTCTTCAAATTTTTCAAAGAAGTTTTTGGTAAAGCAAAGAAATCCTTATTCATTTTACTTGTCTCACTTTGTGCATAAGATCTTACAAAAAGAACACAAATCGATTCAATATAAGATATTTATATATGTTCCCTAGTAAAATTGTTTTAAAAATCTGATTTTTAAGTATAGAGTCTTTTGTGCTTGTAGGTGTACTTTGAAGGACAAAAATGTTCGCGTTTCTCTAAAATTACTGTGTAGACCATTCATGAGAGATACTATGTTTTTTAGTAAATAACATCTTTATACACTTTTACTGGGCTTGTGTACTTTTTATATAGTAGTCAATAATTAACTATGCAACTGGAGACAATAAAAAAACTTAATTATTAGTATATATACTTAATATAATAAATATAAGAATGTGTGCACAAATCAAATATGACAATAATTTGCAAGTATTAACTGTAATATATAAAACTATAAGTATGTCTTAAGGCTGTTCTTAAAGACAATAATTATTTTATAATACCTATTTAACATATTTGTATACTTTTAAATTTGTAATATGGTGTTAATAGTTACACGTAAGTATTTATAATATATAAAGATGTTAGTGTTTACTTAAAACTATTCTAAAAATTTCATATCGATGCTTTTTAAATGTTGTTATCATGCAGTTATGTGTATATTTCATATTTTGTTAACAAATTTATTGTTTAAAGAATGTTTTCAAATAAAATGTATATTATGATTTTTGTTAATAATAGAATGTTTTATTTCGGCTAAAGTGTCTTGATTTCAAATTTCCCCAAATTATGTGTGTGCATTCATTCTAATTATATGGTAATTTTACTGTGTGAGGTAATTGCAAGTTTGCCAGAATATTTCATATCAGTATACTGCAACTAAAAAGCGTACTGGAAGGGAAACACAAAAAATTTCAACAGCATTATAAAAGAAACGTTTCTGTGGAATGGATTTATTTCTGTCTAATATTGGTATATTGTTTTTATAAACTGCTCTATACTTTTCAGTATCAAATTTATGTCGAGCTTTTAATGTAACCACAGTGTAGGTAGGTAACATATTATTTTGAAATGAGTGAAACCACATTTCAAATTTAACGCTGCACGTCCCATTTTCAAATATGTCATGTAATTATTTGATAAATTTCCATGGTTCATAGGTTAAGACCATATATATAATACTAGTATTACATATATGGTTAAGACTTATTCGTGATAAAACGATTTAAAAAAAACATACTTTCAACTTTTTCTCTGATTTCGTCAATCGGGACGTTTGACAGTCGATGTAAAAAAAAGTTATGAGAGAAACTGACAGACATTTTTATTAACAGAAAATTTTTAACCTTTATTCATTTATTTTCCAAAAAAAAGGTTATGCAGTCGAGAAAACTTGGACTTTTTTACGCAGATTTTAATCCTTATTAATTTATTACCTTTAATATTTGCTTTGGTCACTTCAAAAAGTAAATTCTAGACTATTTTTTAATATTGTGGGTTATGGAGCTCTTATGGATTTATTTTTTGGTTTGGTTCTTTGTTGTTTTATTTGTATTAAAAAAAAATTCGGACCACCCCCATCACCCCCGCCCCGCCCCCTTATGGATCCGCGCCCGGTACAGTTATGTATCATACCATTACGTGAACATGAAAATAAAGAATTAGGTGCACCAAAAAATATTGTGTTTACTACTATTCATATTATATCCCGCAGTTAACACAAGGAGGAGGAGGAGGAGGGGATTGTCATGTCTAGCGGCTACGTCAAACCGTTTCTCCGCGTTTTGTCTTATTGTCTGTGTAGCGTTTGTGTATTTGTAAGTCTCGTAATGTGTCAGTGTTTCTTACGTACCAGGGCGCGTCGGTGGCCGTGCAGAGTGCTATGTATTCCACAGCCTGTAGTGACTTTAAATGGCTGTTTGCCGCGTGACCCCACGCTGTGGGGGCGTAGGTTAGCTGCGGTTGAAGTACCACCTTGATAAGCGTTCGCTTATTATTTAAACTGAGGGTGTTTCCACCTTTGAGTAAGGGATAGAGCCTAGCCCTGGTGGTCTTCGCTCGCGCCGCCGTCTCCACGATGTGCGGTTTCCACGTGAGACGCTGGTCCATCGTCACGCCCAGGTATCGTGTTTGTCGATTCCAGGAGATGTGTTCCTGGGATAGTGTCAGTCTGTCCGTTTGGTAAAAAGGATAGCCGAACTTTTGTTGGGATTAATTTTGACTTTCTACCTGTTGCACTAGGTTTCAAGTTGGTCTAAGGAGTTTTGGAGAAGGGAGGCGAAATATCTAGGATCTACGGATTGGGATGTGATTGTCAGGTCGTCGACGTATAAGTATATGTTGGTGTTGGGGGGATGTGGGATGTCGGAACTGTAAATGTTGTATAGGTGTGGGGATAGGACGGTGCCCTGGGGGACACCGGCCTCCATGGGACGGGTGGATCTGAGCTACCAGAGTTGCCCACTTTTACTTTCGAAAGTAACTGGTTACTTCCAGCATATGCTACTGGAGGTAGCCTCCCAACAGTTCCAAAAGCTGGGCGCGTTATAAGGTGAAGAGAGAGATAGCTCACTCACCGAATGTGATTGGCTATTGGTGTCACGTACATTCATAGCAGCTATCTCTCTCACAATAGTTCCGAGCGGGCAGCAGAGATGAGCAGACGTGTTTTGTGAAAGTGCAGTGCAAGGAGCAAAATCTACCTGCCTTTATTAAGGCTACCTGGAAAGAATCCCTTTATTTCCTCTTAATCACCGACCTAATCCCCGGCTTAAGCATAGAAGCCGTCGGCATCTTTGTTACAGGTACCTGTGCCGTGGTTATGCCCAGGTAAGTCCCACTTTTACTTATTTATCAGTTATTTGCATTAATTTACAATATATTTCTTTAAATTTGCGACCCCCGACAAACAATATACCAGACAGACAAATACACCAAAAGACACGTACGCCCCCGTAAGGGGGCATCCCCACACGACTAACACGTACACACACGCACACACACGCACACAAAATGTCGGACTCGGAAAACGAGGAGAACATATACATATACATGGACGATACAGACAGCGAAAGACCCTCTTCAAGAGTCTCCGCTTCACCAAAANTTCCTTAAACTGAGGGTGTTTCCACCTTTGAGTAAGGGATAGAGCCTAGCCCTGGTGGTCTTCGCTCGCGCCACCGTCTCCACGATGTGCGGTTTCCACGTGAGTAGCTGGTCCATCGTCACCCCCAGGTATCGTGTTTGTCGATTACAGGAGATGGTTTCCTGGGATAGTGTCACTCTGTCGAGGTTTCGTGGGATTTTTCGTTTGGTAAAAAGGATAGCCGAACTTTTGTTGGGATTAATTTTGACTTTCTACCTGTTGCACTAGGTTTCAAGTTGGTCTAAGGAGTTTTGGAGAAGGGAGACGGAATATCTAGGATCTACGGATTGGGATGTGATTGTCAGGTCGTCGGCGTATAAGTATATGTTGGTGTTGGGGGGATGTGGGATGTCGGAGTTGTAAATGGTGTATAGGTGTGGGGACAGGACGGTGCCCTGGGGGACACCGGCCTCCATGGGACGGGTGGTGGAAAGGGAATCTTGGATTTGGATGCGGAATTTTCGGTGGTGTAGGTAGGATTTTATGAGTTTGGTAAAGGATATGGGATATTGGTTGGTGAGCATTTTCATCAGTAGGCCTTCATGCCAAACCGTATCGAAGGCCTTTGCGACGTCCAGGAAGACAGCACCAGTGTACTGTCCCCTGTTGAAGGCCGCCGTGATGTGCTCGGTAAGGCGAAGGATTTGGAGTTCAGTGGAGTGATTGGGTCGGAAGGCGAACTGCTCGTCTGGAATGACTTGCAGTTCTTGGGAGTGGGTTCTTAGACGGGTTAGGATAATTTTTTCTACCACTTTGCTCATAGCCGGGAGCAGGCTAATGGGCCGGTAGTTGGATGGGATGGTGTGATCTTTGTTGGGTTTTGGGATAAGGATTATGTTTGCTGTTTTCCAGCGGGTAGGGAAGTGTCTTAGTCTGAGTGTCGCGTTTGTTATGTTTAGTAGGGCCATGAGGCCCTTGTGTGGTAGTCGTTTAAGTGTCGTGTTATGTATATTGTCGGGTCCGGGGGCTTTTCTGTTTTTAAGTCTGCGTATTGTCAGTCTTAGTTCGTCAGGTGTTGCGGGGGGG